ATGACAGCCAAACTCCACCTCTAGGAAAAAACATTTAGAAAAGGGATTTTGTTTGAATTTATGATGACTAAGGCCTAAAACTCAACTAATCTGGCTTTTAATAACTGATTCTGAGCCTGGAATTAGGGGATAGTCAACATCAATGTCCTTCTCCTCCTCCTCCTCCTCCTCCTCCTCTTTTTTGAGTCACGGTCTCACTATGTAAATTTAGCTGCTCTAAAAATTATTCTGAACCAGCCTAGCCTTAAACTCAGAGATTCTCCTGCCTCTGGCTCCTGAGTGCAGAGATTAAAGGTGTGTGCCACCATACCTGGTTTGCCTTTTGTATTAAAAAAAAAGATTTATGTACTAACATGTAGGTTTGTCAAAATATGCTTACATGCACCATGTATGTGCAGGTCCCTGAAGAAGCCAGAGACTGTCAGATCCCTGCAACTAGAGAGTTATTGGCACTTGCGGCTGGATGTGGGTACTGGGAACCAAACCCCAGTCCTCTGTAAGAGCAGTAAACACTCTAAGTGGCTTAGCCATCCCTCTGGCCCCTTGTACTGTTTGTGGACACAGTCTTAATGCTGAAATCCGAGTTGGACTCAAACTCTAGGCCGTCCTTCTGCCTCAACCTCCAAGTGCCAGGCCAGTGGAGAACTCACTGTGTGGCCTAGACAGGCCTTGCCCTCACGAAGATCCTCCCGCTCACGCCTGCCAAATGCTGGGCTTTCAGAGTTGTGTACGCCCTGGCGACTGGCTTTGGGAATGGTCTTGAGTGACTGAGTTGTAGGTATGGAATGTCTAAGATTCAGTTCTGTATTGTCACTGTTCGATGCTCAGTCTCAGAAATAAGGTCTTACATTCAGTAATGTTTACAGTCTTTCCTTAATGTTCCTTTTCCAAGCATCATTTAGGAAGCCATCTTGATTTTTGTCTCTCAAAGCCCCATTTGGGTTTAAATAGCTCATGTTTGTATTTCAGCATGAGATGAGAAATTGACAGTGTGCTAGTTCCGTGGCTGCGTACACTTAGGATTTACACCTTCGCTGTGCATTGATAATGTAGAAACCAAGTTTTAACTCCTGGTCCCACGCTTCCAGAATAACAACTCTGAGACTCAAAATCTATTTACAAACACCTTGCCTGTAAGCTCTGCTTGGTTTCCTGATTAGATCGTAACTTACTATTCACTTTATTCTGATCTAAGTTCTGCCATGTGGCTGGTTATCTCTGCTCAGCTGCCATCTTTTGTCCTCCTCCATGTTCCTGGGCTCTTCCCCGCCTCCCTCTAGCATTCCATCTCTTTATCTGATGTCCCGCCTTTTGTTTCCTGCTTATAGGCCAATCAGCATTTTATTGACAGGTGCTGCAACCTATAGTATATGAGAGATTTTTATCTACATGGTAAAGTGGTTTAAAAAAAAAATGACCACTAGGAAGTACCTTAGTTGTTTCCTGGCCTGTTGCCATCTTGCAGTGTATCCCCAAGACCATGCATCTTAAAAAAAATGCTGAGAGGTGGTGGCGCATGCCTTTAGTCCCAGCACTCAGGAGGCAGAGTTTCAGGCCAGCCTGGGTGACAATGAGTTACCAGGGCTACACAGAGAAACTCTGTCTCAAAAACCAACCAAACCAAAAAAAAAAAACAAAAAAAAAAAAACCCACAAAACAAGAAGTTATCTTTGCTTGGTGTTTTGTTGGATTTTTATTTTTGAGATTTTATCCAATATACAGAGTTTCATTCTGAGATTTGGAATCATCTGTTTAGTGATGTAGAAGAGAATTACTACGTAGTTTACCCATCATGCTTTAAAAGTCTAAATTGACTGAATGGAGCAGTGCAGAATTGGATAGACTTTATTTGAAAGTGAAAACAAATTTTGCTTTAATGTCCTCAGATCATGGACCTTCCTCAAGTGCCTCTTGGAAGTAACACTTTGTTAAATTGTCCTGGTAGTTTTTCATTACCTTCAAACTGAAAGCACACGAGGTTTTGCAGGCAGTATCCGTGGTCCAATCTGATTCATGTAAATGTTCAGCAAATATTTGCACATCTGCCTTGTGCCAGGTGCTGTTTTAATCAGTGAACACCACGCAGAAACTCCTGCTCACATGGACTTCACCTAGTGGATCTAAAGTTCTCTTCCTTGCTAATCAATTACTACTGCTGCCTGGAAAGAACTTCCTGTAGCTAGCATATACCCTGTCTGAGGGGCAGGAAGTGCTCAAAGCTGTAAGACTGAATGTACGTTCATTTGTTCGTTCACTTGCTAATTCGTCCATTCCTTTGTTCCTTCCTTCTTTCTTTCCTTTGTCTTCTGTATACACACGTGTGCACACTATAGCATGCGTGTGGAGGTCAGAGGACAACTTGCAGGCGTTGTTTCCCTCTTTTCTACATGTAGGTCCAGGGGATTGAACTCAGTTTCTCATCCTTGGTGGCAAGTCCCTTTACCTGCTGAACCATGTCATAGGCCCTTTCTTGGCTTTTCTAACACTGGATTTTCTGGAATAAACTCCAGCTTTTAGTTCTCACTGGTTAGTATTTTTCCAGAAGATCTCTTGGGTACCATAGAGTCTCCTTGAATGGAGGCAGATCATGTCCAGAGTCAGTGCTTCATGGATGTTGACACCAGTTGTCCACTGCAGGAAAGCTGGTGTGTGAAATGAAATTCACTTAAAACCTCTGAGAGTAGAGAGGACTGGAGATGCGGGTCAGGTTCCATCTCAGCAGCTCGATAGCTTTGAGCGTGTTACTTCCTTCCTGTGTCTTTCTGCTTCTTTTTGGGTTTGTAAAGTAGATAAGGAAGGTGAGTTTTGAGTCTGAATTGGAATTTTGTGGAGTAGCTGGCACATGAGTGCTGTTGCCTCTCCTCAGCCTATGCTATATGCTATATGCTATATGCTATATGCTATATACTATATGCTATATGCTATATGTTATATACTATACAGCAAAGCCCCTGACGGTCCTGGGGGCCCTCTTTTGCCTGTCTTCTTGGTCCTAACTCAGTCACACTTCCACTGCTGAGAATCAGACTGGTTTCCTGTTTCTCACCTGGGTGAGAGGAAACTCTCACCAGATGTTCAAAGCACTTTGTACTCTCATGACAGCCTTTATTTTAATAGGTTATCATGTCCATATATGGCTTCCTCTCTGGCCCATAAATGAGCCCCAGCCCCATGCATATCAGCACTTAACCAGCATGGATGCCCATCCTTCCTCCCAAGGCATGGCTACCCAATGCTCTTCGTCTTCATTGGCTTCATTGGCTTCTCCCTTGCCACTCTTGGTTGCGTGTGTGTGTGTGTGTGTGTGTGTGTGTGTGTGTGTGTGTGTGTATCTCATGCTTCCGCAGGCTCCTCTGTGCAGGGGCCTCTTTAGTAAGGATGTGTTGACTGAGTGAAATTGCCTTTTAGGTATTCAGAGAATTGTAGGGCAAAAATACTCCACTTTTCTCTCAGGAAAGAACTCTTTGATACGTGTTTCAGTGTTTCATGTTTTTCTTTTCTTTTTTTTTTTTGGAGAATTGGAAAACCGGATAAGAGAGTGAGATGGATTGCAATCACACCATCCACATCTGCATATTGCAATCACTTTTAACAAAGGTTTGCATTTAAATTAGAGTGTGCTTTAATTAACTCTGAAGGACTGACAGGTGCTAGACGCTGTTGTGTATACAGTCTCAAGTGCATTCTCATTGTACATGAACATTTAAAAGTAATAGGAAATTGTTTCTTCTTTTAGTTCTGGGGATCGAATCTAGGGCCCCGGACATTTTAGGCACATGCTCCACTATGGAGCTACAGTCGTCACCTTTTGTTTTGTTTTTGAGAAAGGGTCTTACTGTGTTGCCCATGTTGGTCTCCATCTTGAGATGCTTTTACCCTAGTTTCTTGAGGAGCTGGGATTTCTGGTATATGTCGTTGTAGCTGGCATTGAAATCATTGTTCTTTGTTTCTTTATTTTAAAATTTTAAGGGGCTGGAGACATAGATGGCTCAGTGGTTAAGAGCACTGGCTGCTCTTTCAGAGGACCCAGATTCAATTCCCAGCACCCACATAGCAACTCAAGACTGAGTGTAACTCCAGTTCCAGGGGATCTGACACCTTCATACAGACATACACACACACCACACACACACACACACACACACACCATACACTACACACAGGCAAAACCACCAGTGAACATAAAATAAAAATAAATCATTAATCTGTGTTGTTCCCCACTTCTCTTCATGATATTGGCTCATGCCTTTAATTCCAGCACTGGGGAAGCAGATGCAGGTGGATCTATAAATTCAAGGCCAGCCTGGTCTACAAAGTGAGTTCTGGGACAGCCAGGACTACACAGAGAAACCCTGTTTCAAACCAAAAACAACAAGAAAATAAACAAATGAATAACTAAATAAATACAAATATTTTAAAAATTGTTTAAAAATTTAAACATCTGTGTGTGTGCACGTATGTGTACATCATGGCACATACATGAAGTTGAGAGAATAGCTAGTAGGAGTTGGTTCTCTTTCCAGTCTCTATACTCCAGGGATTGAACTCAGGTCATCAGACTTGGTGGCAGACACCCTCCCTACTGTGCCATTGTACTGATCTCAAATAGTTATTTTATAAATAAATCCTTCCCTCTCTCTCTTTTTTCTTTTTGAGACAAGATCTCATACAAACCTCGAATTTATTTCATTTTCTTTGTGTGCTTTTGTTCTTAGTATTGGCTACTTATTTATTATGTATTATTTATTTTTTTCCTTCTGTGTTATAAAAGGTTGTGAGGGTGTCATTACTGTAACTCAGAGTTATACATTGAAAGATACCTGTGTGCCAGGGCCATGCAGACTGCAGCACTGGTCCCATGAGAAATGCCAGATTTTCTGTGCGTAAGGAATCGACGGGTTGTTTGGAGTGGGCGGGCGCTTGGAGACTGGGGTCTTACATTTGTCTGTGCTGTGAATCTCTGGCCTCAGTAATTCCACTACTCCACTTTTGATGCTTAGGTCTGCTCATCCTGGGAGCCTTGAAGTCCTGCTCATCATAAAGATCAGGTGACCAGTGACGTCAGCCATGTCTGTGAGGCCTTTTGAAAGTCCACCTCCTTACAGACCTGATGAGTTGTGAGTAAATGATTCCTTTTCTCTTTTTTTATATGTTTTTGGTTGTAAGCCTAGTATTTAATGGCAGAGCGGTCTCTCCAGGCCTCTCTTTTCTCTTTTCTACTGAGGTCTGTTGCATGTAAAAGAAACTTCCATCCATTAAGTATTTATTTTTAAAAATTAAGCCGGGGTGGGGCTGATGTTCATCAGCAGAACCCAGGACCCTTCCCTAGTTCTCAACCCCACCCTCACCACTACCTAGCATTTATGGCTTGGGACATGGTTCAGTTAGTAGAGTATTTGCCTAGCATGCATGAAGCTGTCCCCCTGGGTTTGACCTTGAGTACCACATAAGCCAGGCATGGTGAAACATGCCTTAATCCCAGCATTTGGGAGGCAGAGGCGGGAGAATCAGAAGGCCAGCTATATAATGAGATTGAAGCCAGCCTGTGCCACATGAGATCCTGTCTCAGAATAGTAACAAGACAAACAAACAAAACCCCCTAAATCCAGGCGCGTTTTTTTTCTCCTTTTCTAACTTTTGCCTCCTCACTACCAAGCGCAATGCCCACATAGGTCAGCCTGGCGCCTCCAGCAGTCAGCCGTCAAAGCACTGATGAATGAATGTGCTTTCTGATATCGAAGAGTAAGGTGGTTAGGAGTTGTACAGGACCCTGAATAGGCTGGTGATGTGGGCATCGTGTTTAAATGCACTTACCTTGTGTCACAAGGGAAAAAGAGTTTGATACATTGTTCTAAAGCCCTCTGAGTCCCATCCACACGCACTATGGTTGCTCCCAGTGCTGGGACTGGAACTCAGAAACCTTGTGTTTACTAGACAATACTCTGACATTGAGTTAATATCACCAGCCCCATTATCTAACATTTTACATATTTCCAGATGATCCTTACACGGGGCAAATTTTGGAGGTCCTTTGCCCTTAAATGTACTAGAACAGTCACGGTCAAATACGTTTCCCAGAGCAGCAGTGTCTGCATCAGCTGGAAACTTGATCCACTTCCAGTTGTTCTCCTATGGCGTCAGCAACCCCTTTACTCTTCGGGGGGTTTAAGATAGTTTCACCTACAAGGCTGATTTTATTCCAGGCAGTTTTGAATTTGAGGTCTCTTTGTGTCCCTTTCAGCAAACCCAATCATTATGCACCAAGCAATGACATGTATGGCGGAGAGATGCACGTTCGGCCGATGCTCTCTCAGCCCGCATACTCCTTCTACCCAGAAGATGAAATTCTTCACTTCTACAAATGGACGTCGCCTCCGGGCGTGATTCGGATCCTGTCTATGCTCATCATCGTCATGTGCATCGCCATATTTGCCTGTGTGGCTTCCACACTTGCTTGGGACAGAGGCTATGGAACGGGCCTCTTTGGAGGAAGCCTAAACTACCCTTATGGAAGCGGCTTTGGCTATGGAGGTGGCTATGGAGGCTATGGTTATGGCTATGGTTATGGCTATGGAGGATATACAGACCCAAGAGCAGCAAAAGGTTTCCTGTTGGCCATGGCAGCCTTCTGCTTCATTGCTTCCTTGGTAATATTTGTGACCAGTGTTATAAGATCTGGAATGTCCAGGACGAGAAGATATTACTTGATTGTGATCATAGTCAGCGCTGTCCTGGGCATCCTGGTGTTTATTGCCACGATCGTGTACATAATGGGAGTCAATCCAACTGCCCAGGCTTCTGGATCGATGTACGGCTCACAGATATACACCATCTGCAGCCAGTTTTATACTCCTGGAGGTACTGGTCTCTATGTGGATCAATATTTGTATCACTACTGTGTGGTGGATCCCCAGGAGGTATGAAGAGTTTTTTTGTTCTCCCCATACCCAATCTCCTCTCCATAAGATTAGAGACACTCAACTAGAAGAGTCAGTATGGGAACATTATAAAAAATATGTCAAAGCCCTACTTCAAGTTATGCCAAAATGTTGGGGAGGGAATGGATGTCATTCTTAAGCCATGATTAACATTCCGTATATTAATACCTATCTAAAGGATATCTTGGTGATTTGTTATGTAACAGCGCTGTAGCTGTGGACGGTCTTCACTGTCTCTCCAAGAAACTTCTGTGCCCATTAGCAGTTGCTTGTGTTTTTGTAACCTGCTCTGGGCAGCCACAATTTACTTCATATGTTTGCCTGTTCTCTGGTATTTCTTTTTTTTTTTTTTTTTTTTTGTTTTTTGTTTTTGGTTTTTCGAGACAGGGTTTCTCTGTGTAGTCCTGGCTGTCCTGGAACTCACTCTGTAGACCAGGCTGGCCTCGAACTCAGAAATCCACCTGCCTCTGCCTCCCAAGTGCTGGGATTAAAGGTGTGCGCCACCACCGCCTGGCTGTTCTCTGATATTTCATAGATTTTTTTTTTTTAAACAAGATATGGTCTCTTATGGTTGGCATCTTTCACTTAGCATAATTTTTTAAAAGGTTTATCTGTGTTTTCATCATGTGCTAAGTCCTTTATTTCTTTTTATTGATGAGTGATTTAAGAATATATGCCACACCCTGTCTCGAAAAACCAAAAACCAAAAAAAAGAAAAAGAATATATGTCACAGCCGGGCAGTGGTGGCGCATGCCTTTAATCCCAGCACTTGGGAGGCAGAGGCAGGAGGATCTCTGAGTTCGAGAGTTCGAGGCTAGCCTGGTCTACAGAGTGAGTTCCAGGACAGCCAGGGCTACACAGAGAAACCCTGTCTTGAAAAACAAACAAACAAAAAAAAACAAAAAAAAAACAAAGAATATATGTCACATTTTATTGACCCATCTGTGAACATTAAGGGTGCTATTGTGATCTTTGATGTGCAAGTGTTTGCATGACCCTGAGCATCTCTTGAGTTGTGAGTAGAGTTGATGAGCCGCATGGTGACTCTCCAGAAGTCTGTGAGGGTCTAATCCTTCTGTTCCTTTCCAGAGCCTGTTACTGTCCGTCTGTCCGATTCTGGTTGTACTAATGGCTATGAAGTGGTCCTTTATTTTAGGTGGCTTTTTCTATGTTTGCTTGTTTTTGAAGTAGGATTTTGCTATGTATCCCAGGCCATCCTTGAACTCACAGCAATCCTGCCTTAGCATCCGGAATGCCAGAATTGCAGGCCTGCTACTCGGCTGTACTTATGCGTTGATTGGTTTTTTGTTGACAGCCAATGGTACTGAGCCTACTTTAATATATGTGTTGGCCATTTGTCATCATTGGATATTCAGAATTTTACTTTTCAAATTGGCCTGTTTTAAATCTTTATTATATGCACACAATTCCGTATGAATGATTAGCACATATTTATTTTGCTATCTCTCTTTTTAACTTGTTTTTTAAAAATTATATTCTTTACACAGAACTTTAGTTTTGATAGACTCTCGTTTGTCTGGTTTTTCTTTTGGTGTTTTTTGCTTTTGGTGTCTTATCAAAGAAAGTAAGTGTTCTCTATAAAAGTTGCTTTTTTTTTTTAATTTATTTCACCGTCTCTGGGGTCAGGGTCTTATTGTATAGCCCACGTTGGCCTGGAAATCGAGATCCTGCTATAGCATCAACCTTGTGAGCGCTGTAACTATAGGCACGTGGACTGCCTTCCCTGGTCCACTTAATTTTCTCCACGCCAGTGTCCAGAATGAGTTGACTGTATGGAAGATGAATATAGCTCATTGGTGGAAAGTTTGCTTATCACGTATGAGACCCTGGGTTAGAAACATCCAGGGTTGGATATGGTTCAGTGGGTAGAGTGTGTGCGCAATCCACGAGGACTTGAGTTTGGATCCCCAGAACCCATGCAAAAACCCAAGCATGGTGGGTGTGCACATGTAACCCCAGTGTGGACAGTGTGGGCAGAAGTAGGCAGCTCCCAGGGGTTCCCTGGCCAACCAGTGTAGCTGAAGTGACAAGCTCTAGGTCCACTGAGTGACTGTTTCTCAAAAAAAAAAAAACAAAAAACCTGCTGTTGACCTTTGATCTCCTCCCACAGATAGGCACACACATGTATAGGCAAGCATACCGATGTGCACACACATGGAACTGCACTCTCATATGAGACACACACAAACACACACACACACACACACACACACACACACACACACACACACGTCATAAATACAAATGTTTATTTTTTGAGTTTCATTTGATCCATTAATCTATGCTTCTGTCCTTATACCTATACTATACTCTTTTTTTTGTTTGTTTGTTTTTTGTTTTTTGAGACAGGGTTTCTCTGTGTAGCCCTGGCTGTCCTGGAACTCACTCTGTAGACCAGGCTGGCCTTGAACTCAGAAATCCGCCTGCCTCTGCCTCCCAAGTGCTGGGATTAAAGGTGTGCGCCACCACTGCCTGGCTATACTATACTCTTTTATTTTAACATTATAGTAAGTTTTGATTTTGTGATATATGGATTCTCTAACTTGGATCAAAATTATTTTGATTAGATTATTAACTGCATTTCCATATGGTTTTTAGGATTATCCTTTAGGATATTCCCTGTGCATAGTAGGATGAGTTTTAGTTTTTGGGAGCCCTCTTGCTAGAACTTTGAAGAGTTGTCCCAAATCTGTAGATTGGTTTTGGGGAATCTTGTCATCTTTGCAATCATAAATCTTTCAGTTAATGAACAGAGAGCCTCTTCTTGTTTTCTTCAATGGATTTGGTAGTTTCCAGAGTGTTAGTACCTTTTTGTCCAGGTGATTCCTTGTGCTGTGGGAGTAAAACCTGACCTTAGAAAACTGTGATTCATCTTAATTACATTAAACCACAAATACTGCTGGCTGGGTTTTTTTTTTTTTTTCTCCCCTTGACTCAGGAATTCTCATTCTTTTTCCTGAATGAGTCATTCTTTTGGGTTAGACTTTCTCCACTGCCTGCCTGCCTTTATTTTGAAGATGGAGTGTTTTCCTTGCTGGTGTAGGTTTTCAGAGTTCCTGCTGCTACTGTTTAGACCTGTCTGTGGTGGGCACTGAGAAGTGGCAAAATCTGTGTGTCTAACTCACCGCATGCCCGTCTCTCTTAATCCGCTGGTTACTTGAAACCTATATTCTTTGAGAAAGGATGTCACTGTGAGGTAGACAGCGGGAAGGAGAGCTCCTACCCCCCAGTGTGTAACCAGCACTGGCCTCCAATTCAAGTGCGCCCAGGCCAGTGTGCCACCTAATGCATCTTCCTGCCAATGGATGAGCCATCAAGGGGAGGGGGCTTCATTGTTACAAGGCCTTGACATTGTTAACAAAGGCACTGAAAACAGATGGACTTGCTAGATCAAAGGAATCATTCATCCATTTGCTCTAATTTATAAGGTGATTAGATTCATATATTTATCATTTAAGTTAAGATAGATCCCCTATGGCCCAAAAACAGTGTAAAAAGAATTGCCAGGGCGTGTCATGAACAGGGTTGTAGACACGATTTAGTATCTAAAACTACTTCTGAAAATAGCAGTTTTTAAACTCTTTAGAAGAGTTTAAGGCTGTCTAATCCTAGCACCTGGGAGGTAGAGACAGGAAGATCAATAGGTTGAAATCACCTTGAGCTACATATGGAGGGTCTAAGGGTAGCCTGGGCTACATGAGACATTGTCTAGAAAAAAAGAATAAAACAAAGGGGCTGGAGAGATAGCACAGTGGTTAAGAGCCCTGACTTCTTTTGCAGAGGACTTGGGTTCAATTCCCAGCACCCACATGGCAGCTCATACCTGTCTGTAACTCCAGTTCCAGGGTATCTGAGACCCTTACACAGACATACATGCAGACAAAACTCCTGTAGCTGTGAAATGGGGTTCTGATAGTTCCTAGCTAAGCAGGGTTTGAGTACTGAGTCATGTGGAATATGCCAATTTTTTCGTTTATGTGCACCCGGCTCACTTTGTATGTGTTTGGCTAGCTTTAGTCCAGTTGGTGTGGGTTAAGTTTTATGATAGAACTAATCTGTGACAATTTACTTTTAGTTTTATACCCATTAAACCACAAGTACGCAGGCCTTTTGGTAAGGGTTTTAGCTCCTTGAAGGTAGATTTCAATGAAAGCAATTAAAATTACTTATGTCAATATCTTTCATCCCCTTTTAGGCTATAGCCATTGTCCTGGGGTTCATGATTATCGTGGCTTTTGCTTTAATCATCTTTTTTGCTGTGAAAACCCGAAGAAAGATGGACCGGTATGATAAGTCCAATATTTTGTGGGATAAGGAACCCGTTTATGATGAACAGCCCCCCAATGTTGAAGAGTGGGTAAGTTTAAACAAAGCAAAACACTTTTATTAAATTCTCACCTTATGTTCCCTTTTTTTCCTTTTTTTTTGTACACTGTTAAACTTCGTGATTAGAATCATTGTGTTTGTATGTTGTGTATGTTGTTTGTTTTCTGTTTTTGAGACAGAGTTTCTCTGTGTAACAGCCCTTGCTGTCCTGGAACTTGCCCTGTAGACCAGGCTGGCCTCAAATTCACAGAGATCCTTCTGCCTCTGCTTCCTGAGTGCTGGGATTAAAGGTGTGCGCCACCACATGCCAAGTTGTTTGTTTTGCTCAGAACGTTTAAAAGGTAGGTCAGTAGAAAGTGCTTTATTAAAGGGTAAAATCATTTCTATTTTCAGGAAGTAGCTCGAGGCTCTGGAAGGAATACCTTCTAAAAAAGTCACAAAGAAACCTTGGCCTTTGCAGAAGGCAAGAACTGCTTCCCACGCCCTTTTCTTTCTTTCCTGTTTGGAGGAAACACTGTTGCCTATGGGGTGGAGAGAGCTGGGGACAAGATTGGCAGAAGCATTGTGGGAATGGCGGCTGTTGGTAACCTTCGCATTGATAGCAGCATGGTCAATCACTGTGACTCAACTTGTGTCTCATTTAGCTTATCAAATATCTGACTGTGACAAAGACAGAGATTACAGAAGTTTTCATTTTAGGAGGGAGGGCAACACACTGCAAATCTTACCAGGCTTCCTGTGTGGTGTTCTTTTCTGAAAGCCTAGGAATCGTTCTTTAAAAGCACCTGAGCAGGGAATGTTAGCCAACCCTTTAGATGTATGTGGAAAGAGACTTTGTTTCTATAGGGACGTTGTGAAAACACTTGGTTTCTTTTTTTTTCTTCCGTGTCTTTTTTTCTTCAGTACTTGGTACTGAACCCAGGACTTGAGCCCATGCTAGGTAAGCTGGCTGCCACTGAATTCTGTCCCCAGGTTTTTGTACTGGCTAATTGTTATTGATCTTTGTGAGTTTGTGTTTAGTAAATTGTATGGGGGATGTGTTTGGACATGTGTATTCCTGCTTGTGAGTATAAGCCTGCGCACTTGCCACTGGCCGAGTAAGTATAACTGTGTAACCTCAGGGGTTAGCCCTCATCCTCCACCTTGCACTTGCTGGCCCTGGGAGCTTCCTAAGATACTTCTGTGTCTGCCTCCATCTTACCATAGAACTCTGATTACAGACTTGCTACTGCATCTGGCTTTTACCTGGGTTCTGGGGATCTGAACTTACATATTCACAAGTTCAAGACAAGGGCTTGACCCATTAAGCCATCTCACCACACTCCTGTACTTCCTGTTTTTGAGATAGAATTTCCTTAAGTTACCCAGTCTGGACCTGAACTTACTCTGCAAGTAAGCCAGGAACCCAGCCTTTACCACCTTGCCTGATTCTAGCCAGACTAATTTGCCATGAAAACTAATTGGAATCCTGGACCCTGGCTGACTCTAGGGTAGGGTTGTTGTGGCCCCTGGCACTGGGGTACAGGAGGGCTTCAAAAGAGCTGTTGATAAGGTAGAGTATCTCCTTTAGCTCTAACGTTCAAAATGAGTTTTTAGGAAATTTACAAGCTTAGATGGAACTTCTAGCTAGTGAATAAAAAAAAAAAGTTATGTTAATAAGAAAGCCAGAGGTGGCTGGAGAGATGGCTCAGTGGTTAAGAGCACTATCTGCTCTTCTAGAGGTCCTGAGTTCAATTCCCAGCAACTACATAGTGGCTCACAACCATCTGTAATGGGATTTGATCCCCTCTTCTGGTGTGTCTGAAGACAGCAATGGTGTACTCATATACATAATAAATAAATCTTAAAAAAAAAAAGAAAGCCAGAAAGGGTGTGGCTTGCCAGCTGCAGAGTGGTGGGTGCTGTTCCCTGCCTTCTGTAGGAGGCCATTTCCTCTGTGAAGTGTGAAGTTTTGGGAGAGTGTTTTCTTTCGACCTTTAGCTCCAGGCGAGGCTACCTGTAGATAGGAGAGTCCATTGTGGACCGTGAGTAAATGTTTTGCTGAGAGTTTCTGGGTGTGTCAGGTTTTCACTAGCTGTCAGGATTTGTTTACTTACAGTTTCGAGAGGCTTTAAAAAATAAATAAATAAACCAGCTCAAGGGAGACTACCACCAGTGATACTCGAGACACAGTGAACTTTAGCCTCTCACCTGGTTTACTGTCCAGAAGGTTTAATCAGTTATAAGTGCTTTTTATAGTTTGGCAACAGATATTTGCAGTAACTCATGGTAGTGGTGAGGAAATGAAAGATCGTTCTTGAAAAGGTATTCCTTTTGGCTGGTGGCATAGCTAGGTCGAGTATTTCCCTAACATGTAGAAAGCCTTGGGTTCAACCTCTGACCCAGTATATACCCACAAACATTACTATTTTCATATGTAGTATCTTATAATAAGTGACTTGGGTATTTTAGCCTCAAGCAATTTTTTCTTCTATTCTTTTGCTTACCCAAGCTCCTTCCACTGAACTCAGTTATTTCAGTCCAACCCCAGTCTGGGACTAGAGTGATGAGTGTCATTCACAAGTTGGGATAGGTCTAACAATTTATTACTATACTAAATCTTGTTACCTCTAGATTTTAGGATCCCTCCTCGTTCCCTAGATCCTTTTGCATATCTATGAGAATATTTGTAACACTCTAAGTTTCCAGTCCTGCATCTCCTGTGGAAGTGGTTTCTTTACCTTCTTGGTGGTAGTGGTGGGGTTGTTACTGTTTTGAGGGAGGCTGTACTAAATATAATTTAATAAATCCCATTGGCAATTTATGTTCCTGGAATGAAACACACAGACACATAGCCTTTTGTATTTTAACATGCCTTAAGTAGCACAATAGCTGGTCAGCTGCCTGTCCTCCATGAAGTTAGAATCTACTTCCTATCTGCATCTCAAGTTCTTACTTACTGTGTTTCATCGGAGCTGCCCATAGTTCCAGCCAGGCAGCCCTCTGAGCCATGTCCTCTTGGCCCCTAGCCCTAGCCGTGGCTCTTCTTGCTTCTCTATTTCATGGCAGCTCTCCTTCCTCCTCTTCCTCCTCTTCCTCCTCCTTCAATGCCGACTCCTTCTCTATGCCATGGTGGTTCTCCTTGCTTCTCTGTGCCATGGCCACTCTTCTTCCCTTCCTTCCTCATGGTCTCTAGCCTGGAAACCTAAACCCCACCTATGTCTCTTCTCCTTCAGCTATTGGCTGCTGGCATCTATATTAACCAATCAGAATTAACCAGGGTCCCTCAGGCTATGTGCTGACTCCTAGTGTTGGAGGCTAGTACTTAGCATTATAATAAAATATAATAAGTAAAAGACAACCTTTTCTGGATTTGTTGTTCTCTGTAAAGTGAGCCTACCTTTGCATACCTTGTCCTTTCTAGTCATTGAGTAGGTACCAGGCTGTTTTCCAGTGTTCAGAAGGGCTTGTTGTATTGTTTTATTTTGTTTTCTGGAATTCTAGGGATGGAGGGCAGCACTTTGTGCAAGCTAGAAAGCCGCTTCGTATTGAGCTGCATCTCGGGCCCTATAAGGTGTTCTTTTAGTTGCTTCTGAAAGAACTTTATGTTTCTATTCCAGGTAGATTTTACTTTGTTATGCCCTGAAATCACAGATTCTTGTTTTACTTTGAGGCATTAGAGGTGCTAAATGACAGTGCTTGCTTAGCATGAGGGAGTCCCTGAGTTGACCCCGCTCCCCCCCCCCACACACACACTAAAGGAGAAGGTATATCAGCTGATTTTAAGCAGAAAGAATTTTGCAAATTCTCTTTTCATACCTGTTTGATATGCTGCTTTTGTCATTTTTCCTAATTCTAAGTCAGAAGTATAATCATAGTCTTTATGTAAACAGGATTATAAAATCCTGTTATTTTGACTGAAAATTATAGATATTCTATCATGTCATTAAATCATCCTCAAAACCAGTTTTAGGACTAACAAAATGGCTCAGTGGATAAAGACGCGTGGTGCCAAGCCTCATGACCTTTTGTTTTTTAATAACAGAGATTCTTTTAAATTTTATTTTATATCTGTGGGTGTTTTGCTTGCAGAACATGTACATGCCTAATATCTACAGAGACCAAGAAAAGGTGTTGAATCCCATGAAACTGGAGTTACAGATGGTTGTGCGCTACCATGTATATTCAGGAGTTGGATCCAGGTCCTTTGTAAGAACAGCCAGTTCTCTAAATCACTGATCCATTTTTGTTTTTCTAAAAAGCCCTGGTGACCCTATATTAATTTATAGAGTTGAAGGAGAGAACCAATTCCTATGAGTTGTGAGCTCATGCATATATGTACACAGACATACACACACACATACACACAAACACCTAAATAGAAATGTAATAAAATCATATTTTCTTTTTTGAAGGTTTAGGGGATAGGGTATAAGTATGTATCATTGGCTGGCCTACAGCTTGCTATGTAGATCAGGATAGCTTAGAATTCATAGAGATCCACCTTCCTTAGCCTCCTGAATGTTGGGATAAATGGCTTAAAAGTTTTTCGATACTGTTAAAATTTAAGTATGATCTATATCTATTCATATACTAAGTGTCTTAGTGACTGTTCTATTGCTTTGAAGGGATGCCATGACCAAGACAGCTCTTATAAAAGAAAGCATTTAATTAGGGGCTGCTTTATAGTTTCTGAGGTTCATTGCATTGATGATTATCATCATGGCAGCAGGCATGGCACTGGGACAGTAGCTGAGAGCTACTGCCTGATCTACAGAGGTTGAGAGGGTGAGACTGGGCCTGGTGTAGGCTTTTGCAACCTCAAAGCCCCAGTGACCCATTTCCTCCAACTGGGCCACACCCACTCCAACAAGGCCATGCCTCCTAATCCTTCTAATCCTTTCAAGTAATTTCACCCCCTAGTGACTAAGCATCAAAATATATGAGCCTATGGGGGCCATTCTTATAAAAACCGCCACACTCAGTGTAAGTATAAAATTTAGTTGGGTGGTGGTGGCATACACCTTTAAGTCCCTGTATTTGGGATGCAGA